CAGCAGGATTTGGTTCATTAAGGGAGTTGCTCTCACAGTGCAGCAGAAGCGTGGAACGTTCTGTGAGTGCTGGAAGGAAACAGGCACTCTAAGCTCAGGGGAAGCAGCAACACCCCCACAGCAGAACACCACTAACTCCAAACCCATTTGCTCTAATTCAAGTTTCACATCTATGTAATAATTGGCTGGACACCCTTTACCTCAATAATTACCCATGTATCTGACCCACTCAAACACGTTCATCACTAACACAGGGAACACTGAACTGTCCAGGAAAGACACCTGAGGTAAATCAGATATTCAGAAAATCATTCCTGCACATCTGTACCAAACCCTGACCAAGCTTTACACTTTTATAGCAAACCCTTCACGAGCAGGGCCAACAACCTGCAGAAAAACATTGGTGTTTGAGTTTCATCAGTACTCAGTAAAACAATGTAGATTACAGAAAGAAAAATCATAGTTTACTCCAAAGTACTGTGATACCTTGCTGTTCTGAAGGAAAAAAAATCCTCCTTTTTGGAGAAATTCCAGGTCCTATTAAGGATCTTGATTTACATATTTAACAAACTGTGACAGCTCTAACAAAATTAAACCCAGCCCTCTAATCCAAGTTACTCATACCTCCAAGGTAAACTTACTAGGGGAAAACAAAAAAAATTGTTAGCTGAGCAGATCTCTACTAGATCTACAACACAGTGAGAGCAGAATCAAGCTGCTCTCTGCACAGCTCAAGAATCTGCTCTACAGGTTCTTTACAGCTGCCACAAGAAATAAATCCCAGCTCCACCTGAGGGTTTGAACTCCTCTTCCAAACAGAAGCTGTCAAACCCAGAACTGAAGATCAGATGGATAGAATTAGATTTCATTTATATCACTTTCCAATTTATTAATAACTTCACAAATGAAACAAAGCCAGCCCAAAAGCATACACTGCAACAGAATTACCTTGTTGGAATAAATGTGTTATTTGAAGCTGCTATTCAAAGGATTGGCTATTGGAGAGTGAGGTAGTTCTGTGCTGGGCACACCCCAAGACCCACCCCAAGGGACCAGGAGCCACAGAGCATACACCTAAAAATCCAGCAAGCCAGGAGCCAGGTTATTAACTCACTCTGGTCTCCAGAAAGGAATGAAGACACAAACATGAACTGTAGCTTTCCTCCTGGGCAGTGAAGTTACCCAGCTACTTCACTGCTACATTCACAAGCCATCAGCCCCCCTTCACCACAAATCCACTGATTTATGTCACAGAGCTCCTTAAACCTGCCAGACTGAAACCTCATGGCAGAATACTGTTCAACAGCAGGACACAGCACAGGAACCAAAGATAGGGGCTTCCATGTCACATGCTGGCAACAAAAAACCCTGGAGTGCATCAGTTCTTCTCAAACATGCTCTCCCCATGCTTGGCTTCATGAACAGGCAAGTTCCTGAGCTGCAGCTGGACACAGGGGATGGTCCCACTCAGCTCCACTCCCTCCCTCTGCCACCCCAGCCCTCCCCCAGGTTAACCCTGGTTCCCAACTGCTCCCTGGGGAGCCACACAGGGACCCCACACAGACCCTAACTCAACTGGGAAGAGGGACTGAAGGGAGAATTTCCAGTCTCATTCCCCAAAAGAACTAGGCTTACCTCACTAAATACCAATTATACTATTAAATCATTTACTGCAAGTTGAAGAAACCCAGTCAGTGAAGGTCATCAGAGGCCTAATGAAGCAACTTCAGGAGAGCTTTGAGCCTCTCACACACAGCTGCAGGCCCTGCTCACCCTCCCACCCAGCACAGCCCTGGCAGACACCCCCCAGCAGCTCCTTCCCTCTGCACCCACAGTCAGCTCCTGCTCCATCACATCACTTGCAGCTATTTCACTTCACCCAACTCCCTTCATCCCTACAGAGATAATGAAACTCTGACATTTTTCCCCCTCTCTCTCCTTTTTTACTGGCTTTCTCTCTACCATTTCCCATTTTAAGACCATCATATTCTAAGACAAACATGTTTTGCACCACTTTGGGATATGCAGGTTCAAATTTGACAGCATTCTGGAAGGATCCCAGTGCAGAGCTGAAAACAGCCAGTGAGAATGTCACCTGGGCCTCTGAACTAAGCACAGGGTATGCAGCAGGCTCTACTTCACTAACCCAATTACAGTAACACCTAGCTGCTGATCCTTCCCAAAACCTGGATGCCATCATAGACAACATCATGTTTATTAGCCCTGGCCATGAGCCAGCTCCTGAGGAAACCTGTCTCAGCACCTTGCACGACCCCCCTGAGCTCACTGCACAGAATGCTGAGCACTGACTTTTTGGGGCAGGCTGTTTCCAACACAGATGCTTAAAAGTCATTAAGAATCTCTTTTAACAGGTTTGCTGCATTCCCTCAGAAGAGCACGAAGAGATTAAGTCCTGTTAAAAATGCTATCATTTTTGTTACTTTTTTTTTTCCAATTTCGTTTCAGTATTTAATAACCAAATTTTTTCCCAGAAAGATGTATCACATCTCACATCACCTCCTGCAGTGAGCTGGTGTTCAGATCTCACACCTAAGAACTCCAGCTCCCTGAGGGCCAGCTGCCCAGAGCTACTAGAAGACTGCTTTGGAATTCTTTACATGAATTATTTTCCTAATCCATCTACCCTTTAAAATTCCACATTATTGAGAAGACTCGAGTGGTCCTTACTCTAGCACATGTACTTAATTAAAAATTTCCTTCTCCACTTACTCATTGCTTAGAGACAGTAACAGGCAAACAGCTGAGCTATTGTCTAATGAGAAGCAAGGTCCTTCTATGCCTCTTGTCTTTTAAACACATGTGAGGGATCTAAAAACACAAACCCAGAATGAAGAAGATGCAGTTGTGTCAATAAGCCAGCTATTTACTTTACAACTGCTTAAAATAGAGCTGGGCTACAACAAGCAGTATAGAAACACTTTTGAGACAGCTTCTCAAACAGTTCCCCTCCAGGTCTTATGCACTGGAAGTTTCTTGTCCATGTTTATTTTGCTATTCACTTTTATAAGGGTTTTATCCCAAGTCTCTGATTACAAATAAAGAATGTGCATTCTTGAGATATATGTTGGAAGGCCTACTTATATTTGTAGAGTTAGAATATACCATGAACACGGTGAAGTGTTACAAGCTCCATGGCCAAGTTCATCAGCAAATTGTGCTGTTGGTCAGTCCTACAGAATCCCTGCCGGGGGTGGGGAAGCTGGAAGGGACCTCTGGAGATCATCTCATTCAAACCCCCTGCTCCAGCAGGGTGCCCAGGATGGTGTCCAGGCAGGTTTGGAACCTCTCCAGAGCAGGAGACTCCACAGCCTCTCTGGGCAGCTGCTCCAGGTTCTGCCACCCTCACAACAAAGAGGTTTTTCCTGCTGTTCAGATGAAACCTCCTGGGTTTGTTTGTGCCCATTGCCCCTTGTCCTGTCTCTGGGCACCACTGCCCAGGGCCTGGCTCCTTCCAGGAGAAGGGATGCCTGACGCTGTCCCGTCTATTCACATTCCACTTCCTTACCCCAATAACTTATCAACCTGCTGGCTAGCCCCAAGGGGGCGTGCAGAAGCCCCAAAACCCGAGCAGGGGTTCTGCGAAGGTCTCTGCCGGACGCAGGCGCGCAGAGCCCGAAGGCAGTGCTGCTAAGCAGCTTTCCTAAGCCCTGAGCCGAGGCGGGGCAGGGAGCTGGCCGAGCCCCGCGGGGGAAGCGG